ATCCACATTTTTACTCTTTTTTCATTTTCTGATGTTAAAATATGTTTGTTTTCTAAGTTCTCCATGAACAGATTCGCTAAAATAGGTGCTAATGGACTACCCATTGACACTCCATCTTCTTGCCGGTCACTCGATTCTATACTACATATTTTTCTGTGTTTAAGTTTTTCTAGTATTTTCGTTCTCCCCTGTTTCAACTAGTATATATATGCATCTCTCTTCTAAATTCACAGTCATAAGAGCTATTTTCCTATATCAAGCTTTACCAAAGCTTTATATTAGATTTTGAACAAAATCGTTTTTGTTAAGCACCCATATGCTTTATGGACCTCCTCAGAAAGGTTATTTTAAAAAGTCTCCATAATGTTATAATGGTTCATATGCACTTGAAAATGTGTAAAATTCCTAGTGAGGGGGGAAGCGCCAATAACTTCAGTAGCACCTCCTCTTGGTAGTTCACCACACTTTGTTCTATCTTCTGAGTTTTATGATATTTTATCGACCGCTTGAGCACCGTTAAGCGTCGTAGGGATTATACTAAATGTAAATGGGCTAACGATAAATATAGCTTGAATCGACAATAACTTTAAATGAAAACGTCGGGAATAAAGACTTTGACAGAATGTTGATCCACGTGCCATTATTGCAGCTCAGTTTTGGACATATTATCCAAGTTTTAAAGAGTGGTATCAATTTCCCCAATTTCATGGCCATTCTAAGAATTCAACAGAATTCTTGTAGCCACCCCTCACTCTCACGCAGTAGTGCTCTCCTTCCTCCTCCGCGAATCACTTGAATCCTAAACAGATCGAATTGACATTTTAGTTCATAGGATTTGTACCTCATAAAAACCTTCATTGCCTCCGGTTCACAGTATCATTTAGCACAACCTTCTGCCATTTCCTTCGGACTCTGTTTTTGCGCATTTTGGACTACTCGTCTAATGCATAGCGCAAGAAATCGATCCTATGTTGCAGCATCCAATGATGAAAGCCATATATAGTGCTCCGATCATGTGTCTTTAGGTTCTAAATAGTATAAAAACTAATAAAAACTTTTAATTTTGTATGTTTGATGTGCAAGAGTTGCATTATATTGCTTCAGATACACATAAATTATTTTTTAGAGTGTATGAGTAGCATTAAATGTATTATTAACTTAAAAGAAAGATGAATTTATTAGTAAATTAAAGTGTTTGAATTATTTTTTAAAACTATATATAGCCGTCAGCTTTATAATAAAGTAAGTGTATAAACTAGAAAGTTTATGTGAATGATGTTTTGAGGTAATTTAACTTTTCAAGATGATTTGAATGCCAGTGTTGTTGATACAATGAGCATCACTATGAGCAGACAGACAGATGAACAGACATTTTTGGTTGTATCACTGTTGCTTTCAGTCAAGGAAAAAACGCTGTTTAGGTAAATAAATAAATCATTGAATTTATGCATGTCTGTTCCAGAAATGATACATTCATTCTTTGTAGGACACTTTTATATTCAGAGGATCGAGCATACATCGTTTACGAGAAATAAATTTAAATTTAAATTAGTGAGAGGGAAACTCCAATAACTTCAGTAGCACCTCCTCTTGGTTGTTTACCACACTTTGTTCTATCTTCTGAGTTTTATGATATTTTATCGACCGCTTGAACACCGTTAAGCGTCGTAGGGATTATACTAAATGTAACTGAGCTAACGATAAATATAGCTTGAATCGACAATAACTTCAAATGAAAACGTCGGAATATATAATCTTTTTTCAGATTGTATGTATTAGTTAAAAAACCATACTAAACTATGATAAGTTTGATAGAAAAAAGGCATTGATAAAAAAGGTACTTCTGTACATGTTCACTTATTGCTCTTGTTTTTCTTTCTTAGTCATAGCAAGGTGTTCGAGAGAATATACACGTTTGGTAAGATAAATTGATTTTCGTTAATTATATCTTATTATATCTTCCCATTTAGATATTTATTCCATATGGTATTATTTGCATGCACATATAGTTTAGAATTGAACAAACTGAATTATTTATATTTAACGACTTATACTAAAGCTCAATTGGTTTTACTGGTACTACTTCTGTAAAGGTATGTCGTTGTTGTTATTTTTAGAATAACTTTTTCTTCTCTAGTTTAAGATTATACTAAATCTACACCCTTTCATAAATGCGATAGATGCTCGTACAATGGATTATATATTTACTAATAAAACTATTATAAAAATGTTTATAAGATGAAGATGTGTGTATGAAGAAACAACACTGTTCGTTTGTTATGCTGTTATGAATGATCAACGTTGTGTCTAGGTACAACGTAGTTTTATATCTAACAACTAACAAAATGACTTCCGTTTATGCGTTAGATTAATGGATTTTTTTCTTTGCTTTCAAGATAGTTGCAAAATTGTTGCTTCGTGCACGATTAGCTCAATCATCAGCACAAATAAAAGTATTTGATTTAAATTGTTCAATGGCATGAGGATCACGCATTTATACATGATACACTTAGAAAAAGCAAAAATGAGGAATAAGAAGAACAAATCGTATATAAACGCTTTATAGTTTATTTAGCCTGTAGGAATGCATTACTTACAATGTCAGTTTTGAAAGAATGCTCTAGGAATAGATATAAAAAAATTTTCTTTTTATTCATATGCGCACATTTCTAACGATCTCTGATTAAGTTGTGTAGTGAGACCTCTGAACACACATTACTTACTCAGTAATTGATCTCCATCTACAATGATAACTGATGGCTACTGACTAAACGAATTGTAATAGTTTGTGGAAAATAATCTAATATAAACGGAATTAGACTGGACTTTTGTTGAAATGTTGGTTCATTTTTGTTGATGAAGGAAGGGGGTGGCGTAGTAAATTCATATGTGAATAATATTTCTAATTTGATACTTGAACGAAATGCTGAACAGTACATCGGTAATTTAAATAATTTCTCATCCTTATTATTTATAACTGTTAATAGTTTTTTCGACAATACGGACAAAGTGAGTAGACGTACATTGTCTTTATATATTATTGTAAATACTGTTGATCTTTTTTCGATCAAGTATTCTTTTATAAAGGCATTCGCCACTAGAATGAATTTGACTGATACACCACACAATTCAAAAACATTATTATTTGGCAATTTTATTCCACTTAAAATTTTGTAAAATTCTTTTGTTTGGCACTGAAATAGATTATCTGTTTTAAAAACAGTGATCAGTTTCATCAAGTCATTATTATCTGTTGTTATTCTGGATGGTGCAGCTTGTATGTGAGGATCGTTTGTTTGTTTAGTCTAAAGAAATCCTGTAGGATGTTAAGAAATATGCTCACCATTTATTAATCGTAAAGAAATATTCACATTTGATGATTCATCTACAATATTCAATACTTCTGCACACCACGTTGATGATAACGACCATGCTGTACGAAGATCTGCATCCATATGCCCGGATAATCCTAACGGATTAGTGTTATTTGATAAATCTGTATCTCAAACAAAAATTACGAGTGAACTTCACCTGCATTGAAGAGTGTGATTGATGTTCTCTCAAAACAGATGTATAGTAACTTAGTTGATCTGTGTCCCTTTCTTTGTATTTGTGTAGTAAATGAATACACAAAACATTCAGAAAGATATGGACTGTAGATAGGAAAAAATGACAGATATCTTTACTTTTTCATTTGATAAGAGATTTGGTTCAAAGTAAATCACATATGTTCATTCCGTCGCTTCTTGGTTATTGAGTTAATGGACCTTGTACAAAAAATAGATAAGTTAAATTCCTCAAAGCTACACACTCTACCAAAGTTTTTTCTCAGTTATAGTGACGACATCCACTTTTGTATTGCTCACAGTATTCACTGAGTGCAACAAATATACTACAGAGTCAAGCTTTTGCAGTTTTTACGGCAAATAGTAAATTTAATTAATTAAAATAAATGATTTCATATAATTGTCAGATAGATCAAGTATTTATCATCTTTTTCGTCTTTCTCAACTTTGTCGATTCTAAAACTTGCACCTGCTTTCAATAATACTTCTTCTTCATCTGGATAATGTGATAATAAACTTACTTCTTTATGGGAGACGCCAAAACGATCTTCGCCTAAATTTATAATAAACAGGGCATTTTTAGCGAACATTTCTGCAGCCCGATAATTTTTACTTGTAGATGAATATGAAAGCCATTTTCCTGTTTTCCCCACACTGTCTCGATAGTCGTTAATCATTTGCTGATCAAAACTTTTTACACTTATTTTTTATACTTCTCAATTGATCTGCAATCGCTTCTGCCGCCAACTCGGCTTCTACCTTCCTTCAAACACTATACCAACAGCGGCTTGTTCAATTATTTCATCGTAATTTTTCTCTTGCTCACATGTTCTAACTAACGTTTTATTTCTATTGTACCACACAGCAACGAAATCAGACCCACTCGTGTCAGCTTCACCAAATGATTTGACAACTAGTTTTTCGGAAAAGCAAAATCCTTCCTCTCTCAGACATATAGAAGTTCCGTCAATCAAAACTCGCTTAATCGCTGTTACTGTTTGTTTATCATTCTGAATGATTTGTAATATATTTTTAAAATCAAAAGTGAATTTCCCAAGTGTTAGGTTTTCGTTCTTTAACCATGCCTGTTCAATTATATTGTTTTCAATGTCAGAAAATCGATTCCATTTTCCTTTCTCTAACAGCGCTTGGTCGTCGTCGGATTGCCAGTACCATATGACTTTTGTGGCAGAAGCAATCTATAAAAACACTTAACGTAAAATTCGATTTTGCACAAAGTCTTCGGAAAATTTAGTCCTAAAAGCACTTACGTTAGAAAACGACAGAGATATGATCGCGCCGAGTTCAAATGTTTAAAAACTTCATTCAGGCAAGGCGATCATATCCGTGAAATCAAAAAAACTTAGACTTTTTCACAAGGTCAATAAATGTGCTCAGTATAAATATGTGTTTTAAACATTTCTCTTTTCTGTCTGTGTCTCGATTTAAGGAAACCAAACATCATATTCAATATTTTTTTCAATGTGAATAAATAAAAGTAGTTGTAAGGTGCAAATAATGGAAACTTGGAGCAAAATTTTTTTCGGACTTATTATACATCCTTCAATAGAGCGTTTCAAGCTGATCACGAATATATACTTTTTAATTTTTCGAAATATTTTTTTCATGTCGAAAAATCGAATAAACTCGAAGGTTCTCGAAAATCGAAAAATCCTCCGAGTTTCAAAAAATTTGAATTTCCGTTTTGTTTGACGATGCGGACTTTTCAAACTATTCAAACTTTTCAAACTATATTTTTTCTGATTCAACATTGAAAACTGAGTAGAAAAGTGGTATTTGATGAATGCAATTAAAGGGTCGTCCAACTTTACCCAGCCTCTACGCTCGGTAAAAGGAATTTTGCTATGCTATCTACCTTTTTGTTGCAAGAGACCAAGCCGAAATTTACACGTCGTCAGAACTGCCAAAAGCTCAGCTTTAAAGGTACAACTTGGTTTTTTCGAAAATCGTTTTTGTTGGTGAGAAAATTCATTTTTTCCAAATGAGGCGAAAAAGTGAGAATTCTGCTCGTAATTCTCAATTTTCTTCGTTATACTTAGCCTTTCATGCAATAAAAATATCATATTCGGAATCAAGATGGAAAACTGAGCCGATTGATGTAAATCTCTATTGCGTTCGACTACTTTAGTTGTTGTCGAATTTTTACGTTGAAAAATTATCGAGGTTCTCATCAAGCAGTTAAAATCAAATACAAGTTTCGAAATAGACATTAATCGATGCAATTTCGTATCCTGATTCTGAATAAGATATTTTTATTGCATAAAAGTTTAGCTATGACGACATACGTTTTTTCGTTTCTTATATTTTTATTGCTCGTATACGTCTATCGCGTAAGTGCAAAACATTATTTCTTTTTTACAAAGAAAGAGCAAGTTTTCTATATTCATCTATTACATCGACGTAGGAATTAGTACTCTGCAGATGTATCGTGCATTCTGCCAATTCCACGGCTCAAATTCAGATTACTTATCGGGCAATCCGTTCCAGTTTTGATATTACTTTGAAGTACGTTAGTTGGGACACGAAAATAAATGAGCCCGGAAAAATGAGAGAATTGATCCCGATTGCTTTAATTAACAAAAAAAAGATGAATATGAGCCCGTTCGAAAAATAAAAGATTTATCTTCATAAAAGAGAAAAATGAGCCCGGTAATTTAGTTTTATTAAAATAATAAAAAATATTCAATATAAGAGCATTCTTTTAAAATCTATCTTAGAAGCACGTATATATATTCGTGATCAGAATTCAAAACTGAGGAACTTACAAGCGGTGTATCTGTAGCATATATGTCGTTTTAGTCAAAAGGAATATCCATATGTCATACAATCGGTTTAATGATTATATGGGATTTTAAAACTGTTCCACAAAAACTGGTCAAAGAAAAGGAAAAGGTAGACCAAAACAAGCAAAAATAACTTTAAGAAAAGATTAAGAAAACATTATTATTATTTTGTACTTATTAAATTGCTTGATTTTGTTTTGTTTTGAAGTTATTATGGTTTGTAAAAAATTGTTATTGAAAAAAAAATATTATTCATGATTATTTATGATTACGATTATATATACACGCTTCTAAGATTGATTCTAAAAGAATGCTCTTATATTGATTATTTTTTTAGTTTTTTAACAAAACTAAACTACCGGGCTCATTTCTTTCTTTTACGAAGATAAATTTTTTACTTTTGAACTGGGCTCATTCCCGTCTTCTTTTGTTAATTAAAGTAATCGGGATCTATTCTCTCTTTTTTCCGGGCTTAAAACTTATTGTATCCCATGAGTTGTACTATATACTGATCTATTTTTTACAAAAAGATTCCTTTAAGTTTTTAAGATATAACCTTATCAGTGTCACATTATTAAGTTCGCAAAATACGAGTCGAGTTTTCCGTTCAATTCTAGTTATTCGATGGAAAACGAACAAACTGGAACATACAGCCCTCTTTTTAAAAGAAAAATAATGTTGTTCATTTAGATATATAGGGGCATAAAAAATATAAGAAACAGAAGAAAATAAGGTCGAAAGAAAGAAACGCGTTATGTTTGATGTCCGATCGACTAGATTAAATGTACGATACTGCAAAAAGCTACAGCCAAGGCCAACAGTTTCAAAACTATCAAAACCAAAAAGGATCTACTATGCTACTTTCGAATCTATATAAAAATCCTGAAACTCGCTTCTTTAGAAATGAAGCCAGCAGATTTTGATATCTACAGAATCGGTGATAAAAATGCCATTACGCAGGCAAAATTACCCATAAATGATAATTTTTATGGCGTACAGTGCCATATTAGTCATGATGCTGTGGTCAGATAAAAATTAGAAAGTCATTTTTCATATTGTAATAGTTGTAAAACGAGCATCTAGACAAAACAAATTACGGGAGGCTTTGAAAGAGCCCCCAATAATTAATTAATTCATCTAATAATTATAAGAATTTTAAATGACTTTTTTGGAAAATTACGTGGAGCTGAACAGATGATTCAAAATTTTTTTAAACACCGTTCTTTAAAATTCCAGATTCATTTTGTGATACGTATTCGAAAGACAACTATTTCAAACGTCATTACGAATATTTATATTCGTTGTTTACATCTTTTTGGACACGATATCAAACAATATCGAAAGCATGCGAGCCCGAAAAATGTCCAAAGTATTTATAACCGATAGACATCGAGAAGCCAATCGCTTCATGTGTGCACAACAAGATGTATTCGGTTTTCAGATTTCCAAAATGGTTGATGTTGTCACTGGATGCTCAGAAACACCAAAAACAGGTAATATTTCACTTTAGGGGTTACACCGTCGGTTTGTTTAGTGGTAAAAGACCGATATTTAAGAGTATCTACTCCACCTCTCTTGTTTGAAACACCGTTCGACTTTTCCCCCTAACAATCTTTTATACATGTTGATTAAGAAAACATGTCTTATATACATACATTCTACCCCCCAAAAGGATCAGTCTTATTTGTACTTTGTGTGTGAATAA